GCGAGAGTTTCTGAAGAAAGTGATCCTTCTAATTCACGATTGGATATAAACGATTACACACGAAACATGTCATTTCGCATTTCGCATATTCTATATTCTGAACATATAAGAAAAAAGAAATACAAGTTTTGAATCATTGATTAAAGGTGAAATAATTTAAAAAAAATAGGATAATATTTTTTCTGATATAAGTTCAATATATTTATATATTTGAAATTTATATTTAGAAAAGATCTGTCCAATATTTTTTTTATAATAATAACAAATAAAGTTGACATATAAGATCACTTAATGTTACCAGTAATAGTACATTATGTTAATGTACATGTATATGTGTAATTATGTAACTAAATTAATTATTTCAAGAAAAGAATATTAAATACAATAATAGTAACATAATATAAATAGCAAATTAAATCAGTACATCAATGTATATGGATATGTGTGTATATACTGTATAATATTTTGAAAATATATCTGTATAGTGATACCACACATAACCATTTGTGATAAAAAAATTGTGATTTATATGAATCTATAAATTATAACAATAAAGAACTATTACATAATATAATAATAACACAATAATGATACAAAATTTGTGTTACAAATAATATTTAATAAGACTATATACTTTAAAAATATATAATACTCGGTAATATTCATTTTGAAAGTTCTCTTATTAATTATCCGAAAGTATGAGAAATTGAAATGAAAACCAAATGTGAGTGTATCTATATACTTATGTTATTTAACAGATATCGGAAAGTAAATTCTAAGTTTTGTGAGTTATATCCTCGGTTTTGCAAACTAAACTCTCATCCAAAGTTGAATCATGAGTTTCATAAACTTTATTCTCGGATACCGAATTTTCAGTTTTGCAGATTAAATTCTCAGTAGGGATTAAATTCTCGGTCTTATAAACAACTATATTCGCCGAAGCGTTCGAACCTTCACGATGTGTCTTTTGATGATTTTCCAGTGTAAAGATACTTCTGAAATACTTGCCGCATTTCACGCAGTAAAGATTGCACTTTTCGTGGCTCTTCCGGTGCTTATTGAGCAAATCCTTGCGCGTGAACGTCTTATTGCAGATCGTGCAGGAGAACTTGTCGGGGTTCACGTGCAGCACATTGTGCCTCGTCAGGTTGTCCAGTCTCGTATATTTTTTAGTACAAATGTCACAGGTGAACTTGGTTCTATCCGAATGACATCTCTGATGGTATTTCAAGTACCTCTTCTCGGCGAATGTCTTTTTACAAGCACAACAAGCTATCTGGTTGCTATCATTCTTTTTTGCATCCATGTGACTTGTCAATTCCTCACATGTCGCGAATTCTTCTTTGCAGAAGAGGCAGACAAATTTTTTCGGCTGCTTATTCCTCTGTATATTTTTTAGAAAATTTGGATCGGTCATGATTTTATAGAGAAAAGAATCTTTCAGTTTGTCTTCCGGCTCGGCGGAGGTATCCGTCGTGATGTCATCAACATGATTGGAAGCATCCTTTGTTGATAGATTCATGACCTCCACATTATTGTTGTCATCGTTAATCAGTGATGGCAATCCAGTGGATGAAGATAAGGTCATCTCATTGTTCGAACTAGTAAACTTTCTAATTGGAAGAAGAATCTTTGAAGGTGATGTGTATGCCTGTTAAATTAAATATATCTTAATATCGAAATCCGTTTGGAGAAATAAATGTTGCTTAAAATCATGTGCCAAATATACATTTTTTTCAATTAATTTAATCACGCAGTTCACATTTTTCTGATAATTATTTAGATAATTCTACAATCAATTTTTATATAAACATTTCTATATTAATTATGTTAGTGTTTTGATACTTTTATGTTATATGAAATACATCAACGAACGAATGCATTTTTCATTATAATTGTAATAAAAAAAATATATATTATATAATTATTTACCTGATATAAATTTTGTCTGTCTATTGTATCTATAGAATCATAATTTTTTCTTTCAACATCCGTGACACTCTCCTCATCTGAAGAACTTCTTGATGCAATTCTAACAGTGCGTTGGAGTATTCTATGTTTTGGAGCTGTTTTAATTCTCATATTTGCACTATAAAACCAATAAATAATATAAGATTAATGTTATATCATATTAAATAATTTTATAATTATAATAAGTTAAAGAATGATAAGCCTCATGTTACATTATAAAATTATAATCTAATACATGTAATAAATGTTAATTTCATATTTTAATAAAAAATAAAAATTTTAGCAGTATCTTATAAATTTATACAATTTTAATAAGAATTTGATTAAACTTATTTCAATTCTGCGAATATATAAATATTTTTGTAAGACAAACTCATACTTACAGTGGGAATAAGCAAAGATTTTCAACAATCACAAAGCTAGTTTCTCGTTGTTACAATTAAAAACGCGCTATTTAACACCTAGTGACACATTCTTTCACTAGTTCGTGATCTCGGCAACGTGATACATCGTATACGAAATACCGATCACGACTGACAAGATTTATCGCACCTAGCTTCGAATTGGTCGTCGACCTTCGGTACGACTTTGATGAGCGACATAACAACAAAAGCCCTAGCGGAGTCGCGAGAATAAGAATCCGAGTTTGCAAACATAGGTATAGTCTCGTATTCGAAGAAATGGATCATTACGGAGGCGATCTTCCTCACTATTGTAATCTGTTCTGTACGAACGTGAGTATTCACATTCAAATATGTATAATATTTTATAAAATCTCTACTATATATCTCTAATATAAAATTTCTCTGATATAAATAATTGCAATTAAATTATATTAATAATAAAAATTCTATTATATGAGTAGAAAATTTGTAATAATACAACTACTACATATTACAAGATAATACTCTAAAAGTAATTATTAAAATAATAAATTTATTTAATAAATTCTTACTTTCTAAATAAATATGTCAAATATTCTATATTTTTTACAATATATTTTACTGTAATTTTAACATATATAGAGAAAATGAAATAATTTTTTTATACGAAATACAATATTAAAATTTATAATGTTAATTGTTTATCACACTTAAAACGAAAGCGTACCAGAACATAAGCATCGATTCTCCATTTACAGCCGGGTTGATCATCTCAGCTACGTCTACACAGCCGGGGAAAGGTGAAATGAATATTTTCCCTTTCAAATATATTTTTATAACCCATTTTATTCGCTCTGCAGGCAGAGAATAGTGCCGCCACGCCGAACAGAGTAAATCGACACGATGCTAAAAAAGATGTCGCGACACAGAGCATCGGAATAAAAGAGCGGGGATAAAAAAAGGGAATACGAAGAGGTCAAGCATACAAATGGCAAAAAAATATTCTCGCTATATGGTACGATATCCCCATAGCAATCCTTGTACAGTCCCGGTCATTAATACGACGTAAGGAGGAGTCAGGGTTAAGCGAGGATGAAACGAGGATTTTTAATTGTAGTTCACCCGATATAACCCCGCTCGACCCGTCGGTATTGTCATACCGGGACGGCGCTTTTCTTTATTTCCCCAGTGGCTGGATGAGGTTATACATTTTTTTTTAAACTACGGCAATGCCTCCGTCTTCTTATTAGCAAAGCTAATTGGAAATACAAATGGTTATTCACGGTAAGAAGAAGAAGGTTGTGCCGAAGAGTGACTGCGCGGTACTGGTCGGGGGTTTGCAGATAGAAAGAGAGAGATTGGAGTGAAGGGGGAGGCAGTGGTACACTTCTGCGTATTAAGATTGTATTTGCTCCGGATAATTAGGACTTTTTCCCGGCCAATTCGGATGAATAATTGATTTTGCTGCTCCCTGCGCCGTTGTCCGGACGCGCCTGTCGCTCTTGGACCTATTCGAATGACAATCACCCAGAGAAAAATACGAAGATCTTCGCAATGAAATATTCAATATCTCGCCTAATATACGACAAACAGAAAAAAAATGCATAACTATAAAACATTTGCAAGTATTGTAATGTAGCAGTAATGACAGCTTGAGTGTTTAATCTCTGCAAAATTTAAACGCATCAATAAGTTAATTGATTAAAGTATTATTTTATTCAAATAGATTTTATATTTTAACAAATTTTTACATTAAGAATTAGCTTAATAAAAGGTTGAAAATGATAAATTTTTCTAATATTATATTTTTATTAAGAAACGAACGATTCTAAGGAATTTATAAAAAAATAGTTTAATAAAATAAAAATATTCTGTACTGAAAATTGTGCATTATGTAGATATAGAATTGTAAATTTAAAATATTAAATTTTTCGACATAGATAATATCCTTGTATCATGACTTTTAATGGATCTTGATAAGAAAAGGGCGATCAACCGACGAACAACGAAATCCGACAAGGATTATTTTCCACCCCTCTTCAGTTTAACAGAAAGTTTCCCGCAATTTTGTTGGCAACGTCGTGAAAGCAACGTCGAACGTCTCGCGAGACATTTTGACATCCAGTACATCACGCCCATTTCCTTCATCTAGTTATATTACGTATACAATATCTGTGTATCGAAGCTGGTTGATCCCGGCAAGTTCCCTTCCTCGACACCAGGCCATACATCATACTACCTTCTTTATTAAACTCATATTTTTCAAAAAGTCTCACCTTCGCTATCTGGAGCGCCTCCTCTCGCTCGAAACTCGGAAATCAGCCCTGAAAGAACGAAAAATTCATTTGGCACTCAAGAATAAGATGGATATGAAAATTTTCACGCTAAAGATGACTTACGTTCACGACTCGGATATCACTC